ACCACAGTTGATAGGCAACTTCTCTGTAATTCAGAGGCTCAAAGAGTTGCGTGGACCACTCAGAGGGAGTAACTTGCTCTGGGTCACACAGCCAAGTCCCCAGGCAGGACTAGAACCCAGATCCTTTTGATTCTACTGCCTACTTCCTATCCACTAAACTATTCTGCCTCTCCCACACTCAAGTCTGCCCTTTACCTGTGCCCTTCCCTAACACCAGCTCCATACACTTAGATCCAATAAAGTAGAAAATGAGAGGGCTTGGGACCAAAACAGTTATCATTATACACATTTCATACATAAGTAAACTGAGACTCAGGGAGGTTAACTGGCTTCTCCAAGGACAAATAGTTACTAAGCATTAGAGGTGAAATTCCAAAATGTCTTCCTGACTCCAGGACCAATACTCTTTCCACTGCTCCACACTGCCTTCCAAAGGGCTTCAAAGCAACCAGAGAATGTGCCCTTTGCCCTAACACATGAACCATATGCTTGATTGGTTAAAGAAAAAATGAAAACAAGTTTTAGCCAGCTAAATATAGAAAATGATGCATCCAAAACAGGACCAGATGGTCATCTCCAAATGAATCTACCCAGTGACCACTCCCACGGCACTCCCCAACTTGGCCACAGACTTGGAAGCATTAATACCTAGTTGGCAAGGTTCCCAGTGGGCAGTACCCTGCTGAGGCTGGAAATGAAGGCTCTTTTCCATTTGTATGTTTGTACATCACCACCACCAATACACACACACACACACACACACACACACACACACACACTCCCAGCTTTCATCTAGAAAAAGCTCAGGGAGACTATGCATTGTTCTCTTAAGTCCTCTAGTGGTAAATTCTGAGTGTCAGGATATTAACCAGCCTCTCCTGTATCATTTCACTGAAATTAAGGTTCAACAATTCTATTCTATAGAATAAGAAGATTGAGCTAGGAGAAGGCCATAGAAGTCATACAATACAACAAACTTATTATGTACTTACCATGTGCCAGGCACTGGGCAAGGTGATGGGGATACAAAAATAGACCTTAGAGGAACTCAGTACTAGACCAAGGACTTCATGTAAACACAGAGAACTGGATAAGAGTGTTACAGGTAACTTTCAGAAGTCACAACCCTTTCTGTGTCATTATTTAACCTAAAATACCTCCCTAGAATCACATAATTTTAGAGGAAAGGGGGAATTTGTGGATCACTTAGTACAACTCACTTGTTTTACATATGAAGAGACTACTACCTGTGTGATCTTAAACAATCCACCACCCCTTCCTTGTAGATATGGAAGACAAAAGTCTTACACCATGGCCCAAAAGGCAAAGCTAGGGAGAAGTACATGACCAAACAAGGGACAGACAGGACCACAGAGGATAAAAGGGACTATTTTGATTATAGAAAATATAAAAGTTTTCACACAAACAAAACCAACGCAGCTAAAATTAGAAAGGAAACAAGTAACTGGGAAAAATATTTGGAGCAAGTTTCTCTGATAAAGACCTCATATCCAAGCTCTATAGGAAACTGATTCAAACTTATAAGAAAAAGAGCCATTTCCCAATGGATAAATAGCCAAAGATATGAACAGGCAGTTTTCAATAAGGAATAAGTCTATGTTATCAATAATCACATTATATAATGCTCCAAAGCACCAATAATTAGAGATATGCAAACTAAATCAACTCTGAGGTTCCACTTAATATCTATCAAATTGGCAGAGATAACAAAAAGGGAAAATGACAGTTTTGGAGGGGCTGGGGAAAGACAGGCACGCTAATGTTCTATTGGTAGATCTGATAATTGGTCCAGTCATTCCGAAAATAAATTTCAAAATTATATACCCATTAAACTATATACACCTTTTTACCAAGTGATACTATTAACAGATCTGCATGACAGACAGATCAAAAAAAAAGAACAAACAAACCCATATATTAAAAAATATTCAGAGCAGCTCTTTTTGTAGTAGCAAAGAATTAGAAACAAAAGGGTGTCTATCAATTGAAAAAATTATGAGGGTAATGGTATAATATTGTACCATAAGAAATTACAAAAAGAATAACTTCAGAAAAATTTGGTAGGAGTTATATGAATTGATGCAAAATGAAGTGAGCAGAACCAGAAGAACAATGTGTACAATAACACCAACGTTGTAAAGAAAAACAACTTTGAAAGACTTCACAACTCTGATCAATGCAAAAACTAAGCACAATTCCAGAGGACTGATGATAAAGCAGATTACTCACCTGCTGGCAAAGAGATAATGAACTTAAGGTGCAGAATGAGACATTTTCAGATGTGAGCAATGTGGAAATACTTTTTATTTTGCTTGATTATTCAAGTTTTTTACAAGAGTTTGCTTTTTTTCCATATTGCAGGGAGAGGGGAGAGTAGTGAGAGGGACAATGGGGCTGGGGCTAAGTAGCCCAAAAAAAGAACAAGAAAAAAAAGAAAGCAAAGATTTAATTTAAGAACTTTTCAATAGTCAGAAAAGAACAGAAATTAGGCCAGAATAGATAAACATGAAAGCTTTAAAAGTTACATGTCAATTTTATTATATATTTTAAAAGAAAAATAAGCTGTATCCAATATTTACTTTCACATGTAATCTTTATTTTACTACATTTCACTATGTACACCAGAAATGCTCATTTTATTTGATGTTTACTAAGATGAGATAAAAAAAATCCTAATAAATAAATGAAGTGGGCCAAAACATTTTTTTTGAAATTGTTCTGAGATTTTACTTGCAAAAAAGATTCCTGTTCAACTTTGGGGTATTTAAAAGTGAATTCTCTCAAATTTTTAAAAGGCAATTAATACTTATATAACAAAAATTGTTCCCAAAATTGAGAAAGAAAGCACTCTATCAAATTCCTTCTATGAGACAAATATGGTCCTAATACTAAACCAGGAAAAGATAAAGGAGGAGCATTATAGACCAATATCACTGATTAATATTAGGGCAAAAGTTTTTAATAAAAGCCCAGGAAAAAGATTACTACAATATATTATGAAATTATTCACTGTGATTAAGTTATGTTTATATAAAGGATATAAGGATTCAACATTAGGAAGACAATTCGCATTATTAATCATATTAAAAACAAAACAAAACCACAGGATTATATCAAATTAGACATAGAAAAGCCTTTCATGGAATACAATATTCATTTATGGTTTAAAAAAAAGCATGAGCACAAAAGGATCATCTTTTATGTAATAAAGAAACGTGTATAACCAAATGCTAACACTATTCCAATGGAGAAATCCTAAAAGCTTCCCCAATAAAGACAGAGGTAAAATAAAGATACCCAATCCCCACCTCTATTATTTGACATAGTTCTAGAAGTTGTAGAAATAGCAAATAAGACAAAAGAAAGAAATTAAAGGCAAAAACATCAGCAAAGAAATCTAAATTACCTCTATTTATAGATAACATGATGGCTCATTTAGACCACCTCTAGAAAACCATCAAATCACTTACTTAAAATGATGAATAGCTTCTGTAAAGTAGCTGAACAACCCACAAAAAATGGTTAGCATTTCTGTAAAGCAATAACAAAAACTTGGAGGGTATAATATGAAGGGAAATTCCATCCAAAATAACTAAAAAAAGACATAAAATATGTGGAAGCCAATCTACCACAACACACTCAGAACATCATAATAAATCTAGGCTGATAGAATAGAGGTAGCAAGGAATCCTGTATTGAGAGTTCTCAGACAGAGTTAAGAACAGATAAGAACAGTGATAAGTACTGTAGGGAAACAAACATTGGTCCACAGAGGCCAAGACAAACATTTCATTTTACATGTTCCAGCTAAGTAAAATACCCTAAGGTTAGTTTTTATTTAATCAAAGGATAAATAGGAAAGGGAAAGAAGGCAGAAAACTAAAAATATATGTTTAATTTTGCCAAACAAAGTAGGAAGATTCACATTTGAATTTAAGCAGGAAATTCTGCTCATATTACTTGTTTGATCCTAGAAGCATTCCTTTTAAAGGTACAAGGGTAGAGTAAAGGATAAAGTATAAAGGATAGAGTAAAGGGTAAAGGCACACTTTTCCTCTATATAGAATGAGTATATCATCTACCTTTGCAACCAAAAAACTCATTCAGCCAATTCAGATTGGCTGCTCAAGTAAACCCTTTTCTGTAGCATTCGATAACAACCCCAGTTTAAATACTATTACCAATCAAACATCAAAGCCAATCAAACACCAAAGAGAAAAATCACGTCAATCAAATGCCAACCCTAAGTACCAATGCTAAATGCCACTACCAGTCAAATACTAAAACTGATTAAACACCACCATCAGTTTAATACCAATACCAATTAAATACAACCTTGTTAAATGACAACACTGATTACATACAACCGTCAGTTAAGTACCAACAGCAACTAAATACCAATACAAACCTTTTTTTTTTTTTTTTTGGTTCACAGGAAGCATAGGAAGATTCCCAGAAAAGGAAATGCATTTTATCTGTGCATATCAACAACCATTCTGCAAATATAATCGTACAGATTTGCCTGGAACTTGCCCCAGGTCACTCCAGAACCTGAAGCCAGGTCTCTCGATTCTAGTTTCTGTCCATCAGCTCCACCATGCTATCTCTCAATTAATTACAACTGCTAATTAAATGTCTACACCAATCAAATACAACCATCATTTAAAAAACAATGCCAAGAAAATAGCAACACCAAGTTAATACCAATATCATGACTAATTAAATGTAATCTCTAAATAACCAAACCAACTAAATACCAATACCCAATGCCATCAACCATTTAAATGCCAGTGATATTTTCACAAAACCTAAGAAAATCAAGCCAGGCATCAGACTGCTATTGATCATAAACTTTCATTGCAAACCAATGTTCAGTTAATACAAAAAGATGAACTTAGGAAAAAATGATTTGCTCATCTGAGTAAGAATAGTACCGCCATCAACCAATCAGAGAAGAAAAGTTCCACAATCCACCAAACCTGAATGATGTCTTCACTAAGGCCTCGGGGCTGTCCAACTGGGGGAGCTCATCAGCTAAGATTTCTTCTGGTGCCCGAGGATCACGAACGATCGTTGGCTTTGGCTTTTCCTTGACATTCCCAGTGAGTCCGTCGATAAGAGAATTCCACAAGAAGCTCTGTGATTTGGACCCTTGGATCCAGAGAAAGGGCAAAGATAAAAAAAAAAAAATCAGTCACTCAATAAGCTGCCTTCCCAACACTTGGGAATTTAAGTCATGAAAGAATATAATCCTGATAAACAAGGAATTTTCCATTTTTAAAAGCTGATGGAGGAAATGATCAAAGGCATGCTTACTGGGCTGATGTATTCCTGTTGTAAAATGCCAAGTCATTACCTCTGAACATGCTGAGTCATGTGTACTGCTAGTTTGTAACAGAGAAAATATCCTTAGTCATGATCTGAAAAAATGTCCTGAGTTCGTGTCCCCAGAAAGCTCAATTCATAGCCCTCACCCCCAAAATGTATCCACAGGATCACAGACAGAGCTGAAAGTGACCTCAAAGGCCATCTGCTCTAGCCCCTCATTTTACAGCTGAGGAAACTAAAACCCAGACAATTAAGTGATTTGTTCAAGGTCACACAGGTACCGAGTATCAAAAGCAAAATCTGAAGCCAGGTTCTCTGACTTCAGAGCCAATGACCCAAGTTTCATCAAGTCATCCCTCAAAGTGTACTCCGTCTAAATGTGCCCAGTCTTCTGTATAACCCAGACAAAGCCATTTAATCCCATCGGGCCTCAATTCCTTCAATGGGTTGTGGCTAAATGATTCTTAACCTCTCTCCAGCTCTAAGAGCCAATGAATTTAAGGTGATAAGCTTCTTTTGATATCCAGGCCCTCAGGGCCTTGTCTCACTGATTCCTAAAAAAAAGTCTTTTTTGTACTTTTTGAAAGGTGAGAAAGTAAACGGTAATGACCTGCCACCCTCAAAATTCTGGCTAGTAACCTGGAAAGCTTTGGGGAAACCCATCTATACTTTTCCATTATGGAGTGGCACCATTGGCCAGAAACACTGGACAATCAGAAGCCTACCAAGAGTTGTCATTTTAGGGAATACGTTAGATCTTCAAACAGAAATATTGTGTGTTTTTTTATTATTCAATTGTTTTTGTTCTAAAGTTTTATTCACTCATTTTACAGATGAGGAAACTGAGGCCTCTTGATTTTAAACCACCGTAATTTTCTAATATGCCCTTCCCTCCTCCCAACAGAATCCTCTCTAATAGCAAAGAATAAGAGTTAAGTAAAACCAACTAATAGAGAGACTTCATAGGACAGTGTATGCAGCATTCCATACTTGAGGTCCACCACCTCTCTACACAGAGTACAGATGCATGTTTCATCATGTGCCCCCCAGAACTGTGGCTGGTCATCACATTTAGTCAAAGGTCAGTTGTCCTTCAGTGTTCTTTTCATCTCCATTACTGAAGTCACTGTGTATCATTTCCTCCTGGTTCTGCTTTCTTCCCCCTGTGTTAGTTCATACAAGTCTTCCCGTGTAACTATGAAATCCTCAATATTCATTATTTCTTATGTCACCATAATATTTCATTACACTCATATCTTAAGATTAGAATATCATCCTTGTAAGGACAGGTTGCGCAGTGGATAGAACACTGGGCCTGGATTTGGGAAGACCTAAGTTCAAATCCAGCCTCATTTACTAGCTATGTGATATTGGGCAGGTCACTTAACCTCTGTTTGCCTTAGTTTCCTCAACTGTAAAATGGAGATAATAAAAGCTCCTACCACCCAGGTTTGTTGTGAGGGCCAAATGAGATATTATCTCTAAAGTATTTAGCACAGTGCCTGGAACATAGTAGGCACTATATAAATGCTAGCTATTACTATTATAAAATCATAGATTTAGAGGCACCTTGGGAGTCACCAAGTCCAACCCAGTCATTTTGCAGATGAGAAAACGGAAGCGCAGAAAGGCTAAGTGACTTCCCCAAGGCTACACAGCTAATAAGTGTCTAAAGTGGTATCTGAACCCATCATCATTATCAAACATTTATTAAGCACCTACTATGTGCCAGGCTCTGTACTAAGTTCAGGGGATACAAAGAAAGACAAAAACAGCCCCTGCCCTCCAGGAGCTCACAGACTAATGGAAGAGACAGCATGCAAACAATAATGTACATACAACATATACAGAAGGTAAGTGGGAGCTAACCTCAGAGGGAAGGTACTAGCAGATGGGGGGACCAGCTCCCACACCCCATCCATTGCTCTTTCTCAGCCATTTCCCATTGTCAGTGGGACCACTTTTTATTAAAACTTTTGGAGACCATACAGAGCCCTGAAATTAAGATGCTGGTATCAATGGAACTCAAAGAGAAAATGTAGCAGAGTGGATATGTGGGCTCAGAGGTCCAGCCTTGGACGCTTGAAGACCTAAATTCAAAAGCGGACCCTGATAGGGCTGTGTGACAACTAACAAGTCACTTAACTCTGTGCTCCCTAGCAAGTCTGTAAATTAGAGCCAAGATGGTGATCTGCATCAGAAAAGGGGATTTGTGAACCAGCAATTCCCCTACTGCTCCACCTAGTGCCTTGTGATGAAATTACAGGTCTGAAAAATGCAAACTGAATACTGTGAAATTATAATGACCCAGCTTGGGACCAAAGAAAAGATATGAAGATACACCTTCCTTCCTTCCTCCTCGATGAGGTGGGAGACGATGGGTGTGGAACACTGCAGTTTGCTTAATTGCTTCTCCCAGTCCTGACTTCTTTGTTATAAAGAATGGTTCTTTGAAAGGGAGAGGAGGAGGGACATATTGGGATTTAAAGGTGATATAAAAACAAAAGTTTAATATTTTTGTAAAAAGAAGAAATCACAGATCCAACCCCCTCTCTCCAAAAAAAAAAAAAGAAAAGAAACTCAAAACACCATTATTAGGCAACGAGGTGGGGCGGTAGACAGAGTACTGGACCTGGACTCAGGAAGACCTGAGTTTGATTCCAGCCTCAAACACTAGCTGTGTGATCCTGGGCAAGTCACTTAGTCTCTGTCTACCTCAGTTTCCTCATCTGTAAAATGGGAATAATAATTGCACCTACCTCCTAGGGTTGTTATGAGGATCAAATGAGATGAGATTTGTAAAGGGCTTCATAAACCTCAAAGCACTATATAAATGTCAGTTATTATTATTATTAAAATGAACTTTTTTTTACAAAAGATATAAAACCCCTCATATTAAGATTATTAGCTGAAAATTAATAACTGGCCCTTTGCATTTTGTCTCCTGTGTTGCCTTTTCCTGCCTACTTTACGTGACCACAGGCAAGTCCCTTAACCTCCTAGGGCCTCAGTTTCCTCATCTATAAAATGAATGGCCTAGACTAAATGGTTTCTCATGTCCCATCCAGCTCTAATGCTCCGTTTCTATGACCTGGGACAAGAACTGATGAAACAGTCAGAGGCTTCAGGACCACCACTCTCAGGGGCCTCCCTAACACAGACTAGTGAGTGTGTTGACTGCTTAAGGACCAGCTATCAGTGCTACCCCCCCCAAAAAATAAGCAGGGTTTCCAAGGCTGTGGGCCTTGGACCCCAGGGGCTACAGTTATTTCAAGGGTCTTGGGAATCCCTCTGTGCACCAAGTATTATCAATTTCATTTTTATTTAGCTCCCACAAAGTAGGCAGCGTGAATAATAGGTCTTGCTGTGACAGGTTCACATTATCAATGCTTCATTTGTGTCTAATAAGAAAATTGTTTGTGCAGACTGAATAAATAATGTGTCACAGAATCAGAGAATCATAGATGGAAAGCTGAAAGGGGTCTCAGAGGCCATCAAGGGTGACCCTCCCATATCAGAGAGGAGGAAACTGAGAACACTTGTCCACAGTCACACACCAGAAGTGGGATCTGAACCCAGGTCCTCTGGATCCAAAGCCAGAGCTCTTACCACTGCACCACATTGCCATTTCTGTATCGATGCAATGGAAGCCCAGCATAGTGCCTAGAGAGCTAGGCTTGGAGTGAGAGGACCTGGGTGCAAATCTTCCCTCTGATATTCATGACAGCCATGTAAAAATGAATGACGGAACTACTCTGGTCCTTGAGCAATTCCCTAGAATTTACCTTCTGCAGCCATAAGGATAGAACTGGAAAAGGGCCTTAAAGCCATCTTGGCTAACCCCCTCATTTTACAGATGAGAAAACTGAGGCACAGAGAGCAAGTGACCTGCCCAGGATCACATAGATAGAAGTGTTAGAGCTAGGTTACAATTTGCGGTAATGAAGGAAGCTTTCCCCATCGAAAACAAACAAATTCTAATATATCTGACTGTCTCTGTGTCTTTTGCTTTCTCTCTCTTCTTATCTCTTTCTCTTTTTTTCTCTCTCTGTCTTCTTCTCTCTGGCTCTTTCTCTGTCTCTGTCTCTCTCTCTCTGTGTCTCTCTCTTTGTCTCTCTCTGTCTCTCTCTGTCTCCCTGTCTCTCTCTCTCTATCTCACACACACACACACACTCACACACACACACATACACACACACACATACACACACACACACACACACACACACACACACACCCTGCTCTAGCCCAAACTCTATCACTGAGATTATTGCAATGGCCTCCTATTTGATCCCCCTTCCTCAGTATCACAGAATTGAAGAATGGGAATGGCCCACAGGGACCACCTAGTCCAGCCTGTCTACCCAGAGGGAGTCCTCACTGTCACACAACAGCAGATGATCACCCAGCCCCCACTTTCCTCTGTTTCACTTGGTGCCAACCTTTTGAGCAAACTGGCCTTTCCTACCCCCCCATCTCTCCTGGTTCTGCCTTCTCAGGTCCACACAGAACCAGTCCAATCCCTCCTCCACAGGACAGTCAGCATGTCCCCCCAGTCTCCCCACAGACCCAAGGTCCTTCACCATTGTGGTCACTTCCTCTGGTGCTCCCCAAAGTCCTTTTCAAATTTGGCCTCAAGTCTTTCCACCTTCCAACCACACACCCTTCCGTAAGCCCAGGTCTGACCACTGTTCAATAAACTCTAGTGGCTATTTACCAAGAGGCAACTGGCAGCACCATGGATAGAGCCTGGCGCCTAGAGTCAAGAAGTCAGCTTCGAACATTTGTGTGACCCTGGACAGGTCATTTAACCTCTGCCTCAG